GAAACGGCGTAGCATCTCGAGCATCTCTGCTCGAGGGTGTGACGAGGGAATGAATTTTCGTCGAAAGCAGGAAGCCAAGTGCAACCTGGTGGTTGGTGATTAATCTTTAACCGATCACACGATCTTTCGATATCACAATGGTGGATGTCGATTCGATGTCGATCATCCCTTATTATATCTGTTATATATCGAAATATTTTTCAAATGTGAGATAATTATTTTTATCAACAATTGGAAATAGAATTTTTTATTTCTTTTCTGATGATTGAAGCAATATATATTTGGATTGTGAACGATCAAATAATCAAGGGTTTTATACAAATTATACAATTTGAATGAATGGAGCAAGTATTCAGAAGAAAGTATCCAGGGATATCTTTAACATCTTAAATGTTTGTTCTTACGTCGATTCGTGGATTTGGACGCGTTTCTGTCGGAGCACGCTAATAGAATCATTTATCGTCGACGAGCCTTTTGTCGAGGTCGAAGAAACACAGACAAGGGTAGTTCCGAACTGGGGGAGGGAGGGGTGGAAGGAGTTCTCGAGTCCTGCAAGGGACGGCTAATTCCACCGTGATCGCATCTGATCGATGTCCCTCGGCCAATCCCGTGGAAAAGTTATTGTCCACTGTACTCCTTCGAATTCGCCCTTTCCAACCACCCTTTTCCCTACCTATCGAATCTTTCTCGAGTAGTCTCGAGATGAAACGATAAATTAAAAAATTGACGATGGACAAATTGAAAAAATAAAAATAATTCCTCCATTCTTTACGAATTTCCTAATTTCTTCCTTACGTTCCACCTTAGAATTCTACAAAGTATATTCTAGTAGAACACCTTTGGAAAATCATTTTAAATTCTAGAAACAAACGCAAAAATTGGTATAATACAAAAATACTTGATCGAAGTTTAAACGAAATAAGAGATAAAGTGAGAAGATAGAATTCTCTATTCTCTAATAAATAACTTGTACGTACCAACTTTCGTATAATCGTTTCAATCCCTAGAATTAATCCTCCACAAACTTGTCACATCCCGATGTATAAAGGAAAATCTGACGACTTTATATTTTTCGAATTAATTCCTCTCGAAACTTTCCCTCCTCGAAAAGAAAAAAAAAAAAAAAGACAAATAAACAAATGAAACTCCTTCAAACTGTATGAAATATGAAAATATTCGCGGGGGAGGGAAGGACAAGATTCTTGGACTTTAAAAAAGATCGGGGGAAAAAATATGCAAGTCCTGGACAAAACATATACACCCTCTAGGAGGAGCTGGCACGGGCGCACATGGACAGTTTCCCCGGTCCCCAGCCAGCATGATTCTTTTATTTTACTTTCAGCCGTGCTCCTGGACACGACGTGCCCGATTCGACCCTCCAGCTCCGTCGTTTCCCGAGGAAACAAAGAGGAAAAGTCTCGGATGGTGAAAGAGAAAAGGGAGAAAAAGGTAGGATGGGAGGGGGGGGGCAGGGGAAGACCAATGGACGAAGAAGGTCGCATATGGTGTCCTCCAACCCCCGAAAGTTTCATAGCGGAGGGAAAGAGAGAGAGAGAGAGAGAGAGAGAGGGTGGCTATCTACGCCTGTCCTCCTGAACTCTGACCCTTTTATCTTATCTCATGGCCGATAGATAAGCACCGGTGATAAAGCTGCCGGGCGAAATGAAGGCACCGTTGGCGTGGATGCAGTCGCCATTCCTTAATTAAGTCCCGACGACCGTTTATTCGGTTTATTGGCTTGTTTGCCGCATGACTCTCTCCCCTCCCGGTGACGAAGATGCTGCCGGGAATTCTCGGTCGTTCGAACGAGTTACAATTCCTTTATGGAATTGTTCCTTTCTTCTTCTGGGTCTATCTTTTTTTTTTTTTTTTTTTTTTTTTTGCGCTTTCCATCTTTCGTCGCACAGAGGAGAAACATCCTATCTGGAGGGTAAGACAGTCGAATAAGAAATTACGCGTATCATGTCCATCCTGTTTTTTGAGAAAGGAGATTCAAGTTTTATTCGAGATCGTTCGAAGAAGAAGATAAACAAAGATTTCGATGAAATTCAAAAGTTTAGATGGTTAAAAAATTACCGCTTGCCTCCACTTTCCATCCATCCATCCATCCATCGCGAGGGGAGAAAGAAGAGGTCGGTGATCAAGATCGAGAAGAATATAGGCGAAAGAGATAGGCGAGCAAGGGAGAACAGGTAGAGAGAAAGAGAGAGAGAGAGAGAGAGAATTCATTACGTATTCCTCCGGCATCCCTCTTGATCTCCCCGCATTTTTATTGCACTTGCTCCTACTAAGAATATGTTTTATTTATATTTCATATTTCTCTCTTGTGTGTCCCTCTTCCCAGTTCCGTGGCCACCACGAGAAAGAGCGATTCCCCGGATTCGCACAGGGTGACCACGGGATACCAACGAGGTCGACAAGGGAGGAGGGGATCTTTTTTTTTCCCCCCCCCCTTCTTCTTTTCTTCCCTTCCCCCTAATTTCAACCTTCCACATTCCCTTTTTCTCCCTCGAATCCCGGGGAATATCGAGAGCTATTGTCCGAAAAGGAAATTTTCGAAACCTTCCTCGCATCGAGAAAATCAGGTCAGGGGTGGGGGCGCTGTTTCGAACGACCCACATCGCTCGATGGACGATTAAAGCGACAACCCTCACCCCCTCTGTTTTGCTTGATTAATTGAACGTGGCGCTCGTGTTTAACTCCAAGTATTCCTGATTGTTGTTACGGCGATTATTTACCCGCCGCCCCTTGTTGTTCGATGGCGGGATCAAAAATCAGCCCAACAAATGTTGGAAAATTTGTGTTAAATTAAACGACAGGTTGTAAACGACGCGTTGTGATCGGTCGTCGCGCATTAGAGCGCTTCTCGCCGTTTATATTGGTTAATTGATTCGAGGAGATCCCGATTGTATCCCTACGGCTCCCGACGTGGAAAAAGCGGAGGAGGGGAGAAAAAAAAAAAAAAAAAAGAGTTGACACATCGGTGGACGCACAGTCGGCGGCGCGTAAACCGGATCCAGACGCTTTTGTGACTTTTCGGGAGGGGTGTTACACGCAATTTGCCACACTTTCCTATAGTAATGACTTCCTCGGACCCTTCCACGTATTTCATGGATATCACACTGGCTGTGCATAACTTACAGCCGAGTGACCGGGCTAAGTTACGGTCCCAACGTATCCCATCCCTCGCCGAGCGTGAAGCGACCAGACGCCGGGAAACAAGAAGTAAATCACGTCTCGCGATCGTAAAAACTGAAATGTTGAAGACCGAGGACACGTTTATAGCCCGTATAGTATTAGATACAGTTGCACGCTATTAATCCAATCGTCTTCTCCTCCTCGCCCAACATTTTCAATTTTAGTCACTTTGAATAGAGCAGTGAAACTCGACCGGTCGCTCAAGCGTCCATCGAATATCAAATTTGTTTAAGGATATCTTGTCTATGCTTGAATCGGATATTTATTTTATCCTTTAAACTATCTACATAATGATACACGTTTCGTAAAGCAGACATTGCACATCTTTTGCTGTCTTCTGTGTTTTTTGTATTGTACTTTCTGCACTTATAATCGTTGTAATTTCACAGAATTATAAATTGAAATTATATTTTTCATATATCTTGGTATATAACTTTATCAGAAAGACACGGAACTTGTATAAAATGGATTTCGTTGATGAGAACGTGGTAAAAAGAAAAAAAGACAAAAGTCTCTTAGCACGGTCTTGTAAAAATTAATCGAGACGTTCGAGGGAGGAAAGTGTATTCCTCCCGTGAAACGTGTTATCATTAAGATATACATCATAACCGTGTGAAAACGCAAGGTCTCCAAGGATCGTTCGAAGTAAAGGTACGTGAGCTGAAAATACTCTCCGCAACCTGAGTAATTTCATTGCATATACGTGACGGTCTCTCTTAAACGTCTTTACCCTGCTCCGCAATATGGATACGTATACCCTTATATATACAACCATACGAGCTTACGTACGTACGTACGTATACGTGATGAAAGCCGTGTACAACTCGCGCGTGGGAATTTCGGATAATTTGATAAGGATTCATGTCAGCGCGAGATGCTCCTCTCCTCCATGGAATGAAATTCCTTATTCAAGTCGCACGCGCGCCGGATGGCTTTTAAATTCCGTAGCCCCCTTTGATGGGGGCCGCTTTCGAAATCACGGACGCAACAAACCACGTAAATCAGAAGTTTGATACGTTGGGCCAGCCTGTATCGTATAAATCACACGCGGAAATTATATTTTTTTTTTTTATCTCTCTCCTCGGCAGCAGGGGACGCATCTTCTTTATGAAGGTCACCGAACAACATCGGAATCAAGGCTCGAGAGAGGGGATGCGGGTTTCACCTGTCTAATCCTCAAAAATTATGTTTCCTCGCCGGGGTTTGTGTGGAATAATGTTCCGTATAAATGGTCGTCCCTCAACGGGAGAACTGTCGAGAAATTGATGACAGATTATTTTTATGTGTTACGAAAGTGAATGATGAGAGGGCACTTATTGTCTTTGTTTTTTTTTATTTTTTTATTTTTTCTCGTTTAAATTTGGATCTTTTGGACGGAATTATGGAATTTTGAGGGATAACTTTTTTTATAATTTACTATATATCTATTGAATGATACATAATTATGTGTATTAATTATGTGACTGTTTTCAGATAATTTTTTTTGTAATGTATATTCAATGATGTAAAATAATTTTAGAATATTTTAAATAGTAATAGAAATAAGATTCACCTAGTCACGTGATTAGTTTGACGTTTATCAATTTTGTGCGGGAAAGTTCATTATAATTTCATTATAATTTTCAATTTTTATTTATATTTCTGCAATTTTGTTTGTTCATTCGTGTAAAAATATTTTTAAATTGTTATGAAAATATAATTTAAATATCGCGCTCTGACGTAAATTTAGAATGAAATGTGAAGGCTAGGTAAAGGCGGGAAACGCGTGTGACACGTACATAATAATTATCAGCTGTTTCTTCTCGATTTAATCAGTGTCAATCGATGCTTGTGATTTGTGTAATTATAGCAGTGTTTGGATATATCACTTATACAATATTCAAGATAAAGATCGAAGAGTGGCTTGAAGAAGCAAAGTATGTAACGATACACGTGATAATGTATATAATTTTTGAGGTTATATTAGCTTGTTGCTTTGTTTCTAACAATTTTTTATATTTATATAATTTGACATCATATGAATTTTATTAAAAAAGTTTTGCAATAACATAATATTTTTTTTTATGACTCAATAACATATCTTTTATTTGAAAAAATACAATATTTGTGCGACACTAGTTTCTTACGTATAATTCTGTTTTCAGTATGAGTAAGTTAAGTCTAAAGAGACATCAGTCCATAAGTGAAGAATCTCAGAATGAAAGTTTTTGTTCAAAAAGTTCAATCAATAATATTGAAATAACCAGCGATGAAAGTGATAACTTGCAAAATAATAAAAGAGTAAAAAGTGAAAAGAAATCTACTTCTCCATTGATTTCAAATGAAAACTATGATGAAAAGACTAGGATGAATAAGTTTCAACAAAGTACAGACAGTATAGAGTCAAATGAAGATGATACAGAATCTATGTTTCGTATAAATTCAAAGATTTCAATGTTTAATTGGAGTAAACAAAAACCAAAATTAAACGCAAGCAATGTTGAAAAATATAGTGATTCTGATTCTTCTGATAAATATACATCTACGATATCTAAACGTAAACGTAAATATAAAAAGAAAAAACACAAGGAGAAACATTTTATAAAAAAGGAAGATACTGAAGTAGAAATACAACACGAGCTACTGATATCTGGTATTAAAGTAAAACTACCTGTGAAGCCATATTCGTGCCAGGTTGCTGTAATGAATAAAGTAAGAATATTATAATTTAACTTAAAACGAAACGATATAGTATTGAAAAAGTGATTCATTAATAAAGAATATCATATCATATTTTATAGCTCATACAAGGTTGTATAAAAGGAGAGAACTGTCTTTTGGAAAGCCCAACAGGAAGTGGAAAAACCTTGGCTCTTCTCTGCGGTGTTCTGGCATGGCACGATCATTACATTGGTGAGTCAATTATAAATTATAAATATATCATAAACTTTTCAAATCAATAGATAATAAATAATAATAAATAAATTAAAATCTATCGTTCATGGATAATCATTTTTTTTAAGATAATAATACGTATATTCTGTTCATTTATTACCTATTTTATTTCATACGTTATCGAGACACTTTCATAAATTAAATGTATCTGTTTGCATTTTTTACCTATTTCATTATTATTTTCTTCTTATCACACAATTCATTTTTACGGTCATCTCGTGACAAAGAGTTCTTAAACCAGAATTGTTAAAAATATTTCTTTTCTCAGCATACCCTGAATTTTTAATTATCCTGTAAATTTTAGAAATTAGAATTAGTATGCTTACCTCGGTTTGCCAAAGTTTTGCTTCGTCAAAAGTTTTAGAAACGTTCTTAACGCGTTACAACGACGATGACGTACAACTGTCTCGTGAAAGATACAAAATATTATCGTTGCGTCATGTTTTTGTTGTTTAAATTACGGGAACTCGGTCGGGCGTTCGCAAAGTTTTCGGGAACTTGTTTCTGTCTTGAAATAACTGTCATCTCTGGAAACGCAAGGAAAATTAAGAGTTTGTTTAAAATAAGTATATAGAAAAATATCCTGAAATTAACTTATATTCTATTTGCTACTTAGAAAATTCTAAGATAAAATAATGCTTATTAAAAAATTGATTTTTTTTAAGCAATTTATTTGATTTTTTTTTTTATAAAAAAGTTAGTATATTAAAAATTTTATATTTTGTATTTTAAATAATGCAATAATAATTGAGATATTTTCGAAATTTCATTGAAATATAAAAAAAAGATAGGAAAAAAGTTTCTAAGTAGCAATCATGTTATAATTCATGTTTACTGAGCAGGTAAGTACTTAATCCATATTATATATCTATCATTTGTTGACATTAATTTCGATTAATTTAATTCATAACACCTTATGAAATACATCGATATTTTATTCCAATATTATCCAATAAAATTCTATCGAAAATAAATACAGAAACATGAAAAATTCAAATACTACTGATATAGATGAATCTTGATGTAATAAAAATTTTGACACCCATATCTTTATTTCCTTAGCGTTCACTTACTATTTCTTAATACAAAGAATCACTCGCGCACACACACAAAACAAAAGAATCGTCACATTATTAAATCTAAAGCTCCTAGTAAAAATCCTCCTAGTAAAAATTCAATTCGTGCTGTGCACGAGATATCAAGCGTGCGGATATCAAGGACTCGAGAAAGAGGACATTTAAAGAAGTTGCCGTCGTGAAACAACCGACTATCAACCGTTTCCCCGCCCCGTCCTATTAATTTAAATTATTCGGTTAACCCTTACGTAGCCGGATTCCGTGCTTCCGCCTCTCTCACAGCGGTGCATGCCGCTAATTGGCCGCGATTCGCGCAATTCCTAAACAATTAGAATCAGAGTCGCGATCCTCCTCGTCCTCGACGGTACCAGCTCGCGAAAGGACGAGGCCGTTTGTCTGTCCTCCTCCCGTAATTCCGCCGCCTTTCGTTACCTTTTCGGCGTTATTATTATTTCGTATTTGCATAACGGCAATTTGCCTCCTTTGTCGCTACCTCTCTCTCTCTCTCTCTCTCTCTCTCTTTCCTGCAGACTATCGTTAGGGGGTTGATTTAGGGGTACGCGGAACATGAGAAATAACCATGGAAGGAAGGACTTGAAATTTCCAAAGTTTTATCCTACGCGCAAGTTAATTTCGGGTTATCGAGGCAATAAATAGGAAATTCGAGGGAGGGGAGGAGAAGTAATGGGGCAAGTTTCTATAATACGGATTTGCGTCGCGTGGAAACTCGAGGAAATGAACGAAACGTTTCGCCTCGAAATTTCTTCGATGTTTGCGCAATGTTTCGAAACGCGCACGTTTTCGTTTCGTTTGAATTACACGACGAGTGTATTGTCTCTCGGAAAGAGGTGGAAGGATGTTTGCTTTCTCATCGTTTTTCTCATCGCACTCGCCTATCTCTCTATCCCTTTTTCCCCATTTCGTTCGAATAATTAAATCGTCTCGCGCGATATCTAAAAATCTTTGCACGCGTTCTTGCGCGGGATTGCATCGATTTGCTTTATCGTATGGGAAATCGACTTCCATCCCTCCTCCCCCCCCCCACCGAAAACCGAAAAGATTATTATTAGGTTTTTCCCTCGGTGTAAATGTAACGCGAGAAGCGAGGTATATCTGAAATTGATCGTCGAAAAGAGCAATCTCGGATGCGTAAACGTTTTATCTGATTCGTGCATAGGAAAAATGAGCGTTCCTCCTATCGACAATCGCGTCGTTTCTTATCTGACGGGAGAGTCGCGACGCAGACTCTGGGCCATTGTCTCTCTGAAAATTCCTCGGGTGGGGGAGGGGTGGCAAACTCGGGACCGATGATTCAGAAACTCTTCAGGGGGTTACGTATCATTGGTCGTGATCTTAATATTCGAGTGGTTCCACCAACTAAGTCTGACCGTTCTTCTTTTCTTTTATTCGTGAATCCTCTTATCGAATTACGGAGAAATCTCGTAGGAACGGAGAATTTTAATAACAAATCCATATTATTATTATTATTATCAAACCTTCGTCTTTAACTCTTATATCTCTAAAATTGTAATTTTTTTAAATTTATAAATATATATATATATATTTTTTCTTTTTCTAAAAATCGACTTACCTTATGGATGGATATATTGATAACGGAATGGATCAGAATAGAAAATGGACCATTTCCGAAATCCTCCATTTACGTTTAATCAATCCTGAATTGTTCGGTTTCAACAGTGAAAGTTGAAAATTGTTTCATAAAACACGTTTTCCCTTGAATTGAAAACGTTCGAAGGAGACAATTAGAACAAGCCAGGAAGCGTATCGTTCCGCTTCCGGAATCATGGATGGAACCTCCCCGGCTTCCTCTCCTCCACCTTCTCTTCCTTCACCCGCCATCGTGACATCGCCCTCGTGAATCTCGAATTATCGAGCACGCGAAACCTCTTTCCGCTCGGCGGATCGAACGTGTCCCAGCGTGGAGGAAGGAAATCCTGGGATTAATTGGTAGTTTTCTGATTCCAGTGTATCATTGCCTGCGGTTCCCCTTTGCCGGCATTTCCACCGTTTCCACGCTATCCGTTGCTCGTTGAAAATTGTACGAGGTGTTACGCGTTGATATTCGATCTAAAATTTAACACAATAATATATCTTTCCATTCTAAAGGGGGACGATAATTATGAGATAGAATTAAATTTCCTTTTTTTCTTACTTCTTGAAATATTGATTTCCTTTCCAAGGTATCAATCGCTGTTTCAATTTTATTAAATTCACTCGAAGACGACGTGTTGTTACGATTACAGAGAATTAAGTTTTTTCGTAAGGGGCTTCGTGATTTTAGAGAGAAAAAACGGAACAAGGAAATTATGAGAATATTCCATAATGCGCGGAATTATATTTCTTTACGTAATACTATAATATTCGATGAAACGTGTACGATATTATACGAGGATGTTACACGAAACGAACAAAGGAAAATGAAATAATTCTACAGGAATAATAGAAATCGATGCGTATAAAAATATATTAATATTCTTTTTTTAAAACCCGAACGATCGAAATCTAATCTGAAACTTATCCTTCGATCGTTCTCTTTATTTGTTATAGAAAAAGAAAAGGAAGAAAAGAAAAAAAAAAAAGAAAAAAGAATTCGTGCCCTCGAACGTGATCCGAAGAGGCGCGTGCGGATCACCTACTTTGATTTCACCACTCGTGTCGCTCGACACTCGATACGCTTTGTAGTACGCATTCGTAATTAGGCGAACGAGAGAGTGTGTGGCTCGATTAGCGTTAGTCATGGCAACGTGTCCCCCTTCCCCTCCCCACACACGACATGCTCCTCCATGCTTTTTTCTCCAATTATAATTCCTTTAAACCTGCCACTGTCACGCTCCAGCACGGAGGTCGAGTGGTACTGCTAGCCGCCGAAACTCGCAGATTCGTGTGCGCCTGCAAAGAGTGGATAATAATAATAAATCATTAGCCGTGCTCAACCAGTCGTAGAAAAAGAACGTCCCCGCGACGTTCGAGTTTAATCGATACTCGTAACGATCGTATCGTACGATGACCATTCCAAGGCGCTTTCAAATTCATGATTCTTTTTTTCTTTTTTTTATTTTTTTGTTTTTCGCTCTCGAAGAGGGAGGAATATCACGCGTGAGTAATATTCAAAGGATTCGCACGAGATAAATGGACAATACTTAATCCCTATCGTTCCTCCCCGTTATTCTATTTCCGCGTTAACCGGTGTTGTAACGGGTTGCAAAATTTTTGATCTTTAGCGCGATTACTGGGATTTCTATTTATACGGGTAGCGTGTTTTTTCAGCGTTGGATTAAAGAACGGTTTATCCGAGGGATAGATGAAAATTTGAAATTTTCTGTAATTACGGGATCCTCGGATTTATTGTTCCAGTTTTTATCCTTCCCCTCCGTTCCCCTCCTTTTGGCCGCTATGTACTTACGTGGAATTAAAATATATGAGTTGCGGGAAGAATGGTAAATGCGGAATTTTTTTTTTTTTGTAATTATTCCGTAGAAATGAAGGTTTCACAAAGTTCAACTTTCATCCCATTTTAAAATCAACTCTGAATTTCACGTATGACAACTCGTACACGTCATCGTCTGAATATCAATTGAATTTACCATAAAATTTGTCGAGATGTCGTCCACGTAGCGTATCCCTTTTTATATATTAAATAAAGAAGAAGAAGAAGAAGAACCTGTAATTTCCAAACGAACAAACAGATCGACCAAAAAATTCATTCTATCCTCCTTCTCGCAAGAGATAAAACGTGTGACGCACGAAACTTCTTCATCCTTTCCTTTCCTTTTATCACGCGACAAACAAAGAAGAAAAAAAACACATTCCAAACACATTCTCTCTCTCTCTCTCTCTCTCTCTCTCTCTCCACTCCCCTGT